TTCCAAGAGTTGTAGGATTTGAGAGGGGCATATCAATGAAGTCTCATGTTTGCTCTATGAAGAACATTCCCCGATTGGACCTTTGGGCAGCACGAAGCCCAGTCCAGAAATGGGCCAATGAGATGGAAGGTAGAAAACCAAGTGGCAATACATTCTGGAAGTCTCATGAAGAGAAAAATCAATTCAGGCTCATTCAACTCAGGTTCCTGCAAAGACTATCATCTCCCCTGATCTCTAATCAGGGCTCCCAATAACCCAGCCTCAGATAAGTGTTCTGACAGCCCCTAAGAACTTCTAATTTAAAGAGATAGGTGGATGAAGCAAAATAATGGCAAACCATTTTAAGAGGATAGAAAGTCAACAAATAGGTCATCTTTGGTAAGATGTTCAGAAATCCTAGGACAATTGTTCCAGCTCTATAGAGAACAAATGGTCTCTAACCTTTTAACAAATTCTCTGAGAAAGGGAGAGAGTATTAGGTCCCATCACTCAAACTGGGATAATTCAAGTGGATTTTATAGATATAATCAAAGGTATTAATGATGAAGGTATGGGTGGGTATAACAACAGATGGTATAGGACCAGGAGTGTTACTGCCCATAGGCCTGAAGTGAGGTGGAAGGGAGAGGTTACAGGAACCTGACTGAGTTAAGTGGAGCAGGCTGCCCTGAATGGAGGTCTAGGGACACAACCAGTCCAGGGGATCTTGTAGGGAAGGGACCAGAGGAATAAATACTCTGGCCTCACCCTTCTCTTCCCTCCATTCTCCAGCTAGGGCTCCCTCCACTGGCTAAACCCAAGTGGAAGCCAAGGACCAAAAGGGTCTGTTGCTGTGGTGCATGAACCGAGAACAAGGTGGAGAAGTGTGGAGAGTGATCTGGAGGGGGAAACAGAAGATATCTGGCACAAAGGGTTATGAAAAAGTCAAGAACAGGTAACTTGGATGAATGAAAAGCTTTGCTCATTCTGAGACCAACCAACCTAGAAGGTTATGCTTATGCTTTACATTGTGACCAGTGAGCGCAGAGTGGCACTGAAGTCTGCAAAACAAAGCCAGGGGCAGGGACGCAGCTGCAGTCCCAGCAGAGGTCCCAGCAGAAAAGTGGCTGATTTGCAGCGTTTGCAGACACAGGTTAAGAGTCCCTGGGTGGCACAAACAGTTAAGTACTAGTCTACTAACCAGATGGTTAGGAGTTTGAACTCACCCAGGGGTGCCTCAGAAGACAGACCTGGCGATCTTCTGAAAGGTCACAGCCTTGAAAACCCTATGGGACAGCTCTAGTCTGCACGCATGGGGTCGACAAGAGTTGGAATCTGCTTGATGGCAACTGGTTTGATTTGGTTTTGGTTGCAAAGAAATAGCTGCAGAATTTTGTCATCAAGGGGTAGAGCAGAATGAAGAGGGCCACAGGAGGCCTGAAATATAGCCTGTGAGCCACAGGGCTCCTTCCTAAAAAGGCACCTCAGGGCTTATGAGCAGTTCCTGTGGTTTTGTGGAACGTGTAGGGTGGGGAGGTGAGAAGGTGGGAGTGTTAAAGACACTTACACTGTAGTTACTCCCCTACCTTATCCCAGCACACGAGCGATGGCTGGCTTTTCATTTTAACCTGCTTGACTAATGAACCAAATACATGTAATCTACGAAACTGCCTTCCTTTCTCTTCCAGCAGGCTGCTTTTGTGGGTGGAGAGACATGGGGGAGCATTTTCACTCTGGAGCTACCTGGTTAATATAAACAACATTGTGTGTCCTAAACTGGCTCAAAACTACTCTTTCTAAAAGGCTGGTGGAGCTAATGTTAACTTTTCCCAGGAAATGACATTAGTTTCCTTTTTCTTCTTGACCCAAAGACTCACAAGGTGTTAAAAACTATAATTACAGAACTAAAACCTTTAAAAAGCCTCTTCATAACATACAAAGTGATACACAAGTTCAACTTCACCAGTAGTCCAATATCTCAGATTAGCAAAAATATCGCAAAGTTAAAAGGCGTTGCTGGCAAGATTGCTGTGAGATAGGCATGCATATACACTGTTCTTGGGGGTGCAAAATGACACCTTTAAAGAGCTCATGCTCTCTTCCCCAGTCATCTCACTATGGGGAAACTATCTTAAGGAAATGGAAACACGTGCAAAGATTTGCAAAAATATAAAATGAGAAATTGAAAGCAACATAGAAGTATAAAAATAGAACGACTACATATGTGCTATGGTACACAGGGATTGTGAGGATGTTTTTGAGGGTGACAGCATGGGAAAAGGTAATGTGGTCCAGTCATTGAGAACACAGGATCTGGAGTCTTTGGATCTGAGTTTTAACCCTGACCACAGCACTTACTCTGAGCTCTTGGGCACCATCACTCTCTAAACTCAAGGGAAAATGACAAATGACACCACTTACAATGGAGAGATAAAGGGGTACCACCTTTACCAAGTTATCAAACTTAGGATCACCAGTAATTGGACCAACTAGCATTACGTGCCTCCCCATGAGACATTAATAGAAAGGACACAAAATCATCTCTTTGCTCTTCTTGTCAAAAATATGTAAACTGACTATAATCATGAACAAACGCAGATTATGGGAAATCCTGAAAGACATCTAGTGTATTCTTCAAAAAATGCCATTAAGAAAAATACTGTTCTGGATTGAAGGAGACCAAGTGACGTAACAACACAGTGCATAATCCTTGACCGAGTCTTGGATGGGGGGACGGGAGAGTAGTATAAAGGGCACCTGGGGGGGGTTTGAATATGGATGTATATTAGATAATATAATTGCATCACTATTATATTATTGGGCATAATAATAGTATTGTGGTTATTTATATAGGCAATGTCCTTGTTCTTAGGAGACATATGCCAAAGTAGGGTAAAGTGTCTATGGTATCTTCAATTTTCAAATAGTTGAGCAAAAAAAAAGTGTGTGCGTGTGTGTAGAAAGACACAGATAACTACAGATGGGCAAGAGGAGAGAATGAGAGCAAACAAATGTAGCAACATATTAACAAATGGGGAATTCATGGGAAAGGGACATGGGTACTCACTGCAGTACTTTCAATTGATGCGTACGTTTGAAATTTTTTGAAATAACACATTGAGACCAAATGTTTCCTCACTTGTAAAATCTCTTAGGGTTGTTGCTGTTAATAGATGCAGTTGACTTGGTTCAACTCATAGTGACCCTATGTACAACAGAACGAAATACTGCCTGGTCCTGCGCCATCCTCACAATCATTGCTATGTTTGAGCCCATTGTTGCAGCCACTGTGTCAGTCCACGTTGTCAAGGGTCTTCCTCTTTTTCACTGACCCTCTACCTCACCAAACATGACTGGTCCCTCCTGATAACGTGTCCAAAGCATGTGAGACATAGTCACACCATCCTCGCTTCTAAGGAGCATTCTGGCTGTACTTCTTCCAAAACAGATTTATTCTTTCTTCTGGCAGTCCATGGTATATTCAATACTCTTTGCCAACACCATAATTTCAAAGGCATCAATTCTTCTTCGGTCTTCCTTATTCACTGTCCGCTTTCCCATGCATATGAGGCGACTGAAAACACCATGGCTTGGGTCAGGTGCATCTTAGTCCTCTAAGTGACATCTTCGCTTTTGAACACTTTAAAGAGGTCTTTTGCAGCAGATTTGCCCAATGCAGTATGTCATCTGATTGACTGCTGCTTCTATGGGCGTTGACTGTGGATCTAAGTAAAACGAAATCCTTGACTTCAATCTTTTCTCTGTTTATCATGATGTTGCTTATTGGTCCACTTAGGGTTGTAGTGAGGACTAAATGAGATATGCATATAAAGTGCTTACCACAGTGCCTGGAGTATTTAAGCACTCGAGAAATGTTAACTATGTACTTTATTGTTTATGATCATGATGGAAATCATTAGTTTGTTCCCAAAGTGTTCTACTTCTCCACTTTCCAGCACACCGTTTTGAACTTGACGTGGCCATGTGACTTACTTTGGCAAATGAAACATGAGATAAGCGATGCCTGTCACTACCAGGCAGTTTTAAGATTGACTGTGTAGTTCATCCAGCTGTGCAGTGATAGTGGCACACACGTTGAGATGAAGCTTCCAGCAGACTGGGCTCCTGAGCCACTACAACGTCTTCCTACTGATTCACGCTGGACATGCAGAGTGAGCAAGACATACACGCTTGTGCTAAGCTATATAAGCTTTAGGGGCTGTTTGTAACTGCAGTCAACCTAACCCAGAGTCCACAAACTTCAGCCCACAGGTCAAATCCTGTCTGCCACTTGTTTCTCGAAATACAATTTTATTGGAACAGTCATGCTCCTCATTTATGGATTGTCCATGGCTGCTCTTGCACTTCCATGGCAGAGTTGAGCAGTTAACAGAGACCGTATGGCCCACAGAGCCAAAAATATTTACTGTCTGGCTATTTACACAGTTTGCTGACCTCTGACCTAGCCTATTCTGACTGACCCAATCAAAATGTAAGATAAAGTAAGAAAAGAAAAATATCAAACCATTTACAAAATATGATTCCATACTAGCTATATGACCTTGGGTAAGTTACTTAAATATTTTGGTAATCTTTTAGTTACTTCATGTGGAAAATGGGGGTGATAACAGTAATCTACCTTATTAGGTTATTGTAAGAATTAAATGAATTCTTGCATGTAAAACACTCAGAACCAGGACCAGACAAATACCAGAGGGTGGGACAGCGAATGCTGGAGTAGCCAGAAGTAAGGGCAAGGATATCAGCTGATGGAAATAAAATCACTAAATGAAGAACCTACTGTACTGTAAGCATTCAATAAAGGCCTGCAATTATTCTTCCAATTATATAAAAATAAAATATATTTGAACAGACATAGAAGAATAACAATAAAAGTAGTTTCTCTTTCAAAACATTAAAGGAGGGAAGACAAGGGTTTGTTTTTTTTTTCCTTCTTTATACTATTCTGTTTTTAAATTTTTCTTCAATGAACATATATTCATTTTATAATCAGGAAAGAAAAATTAATTTTTTTTAAAATGCTGAAAATTCTGGTTATTTCTAACATTTCATAAAACATCTTTTGTTGACATTCTACAAATGGTACCATCTAATAATGTCCCAATACTTTCTTCTTGTGAAGATAGTTTATATATCTGCAAAAAAAAAAAGACAAATTATGATATATTTGTATGTTTGTACACTATTAATTTTCATTATACAAAAATACAAGTGAAAGTATTTATCATTCAGTTATTGGGTTAATGGTATGAAAATCAAAATGTGATTAAAATATGCAAATTAAATGGCAATTCATCACTTAGGTAAAAAAAATCCCTTTAAATTGCAGTGGTGGTAATAACTCTGAACACAGAACCAAATTTGTACCAATTAAAAAAATACACACATCTAGACATTAACTTCATACTATATTTATTTTACATTTTAAATGCACTATGTAAGCTTCAGCTGCTAACTAAAAGGTAGGCAGTTTGAATCCACCAGTCACTCCTTGGAAATCCTACGGGGCAGTTCCACTCTGTCCTATAGGGTCGCTATGAGTTGGAATTGACTCAACGGCATTGGGTTTGTTTTTGGATTTAAGACTGATACGGAAAGTCAGCCACTCTCTCTTAAAGTGAAGAATGCTTTTGTAAACTAGTTTCCTAGTTATATTTTATATAAACCTGCACCTTCCAGTTCTTTGCATTTATAATTATTTTTCAGGTCATTTTTTTTTAAGTTAACATTAACCTTTTTTAAAGTTCAGAAAAACAGGAGCCTTGGTGATCAATAAACAAACAGCATCAACATTCCTCAGCTATCACACTCTTCCTAAAAGTATGGCTTTACAAACCTTTCTGACTTCTGTGATATTTGTTATCTCAGGAAGACTGGCCAGAGAAACCTGATGACCTTCTACTTGAGATATGAGGTGTTCTTGATTTATTTGTTCTTCTCCTTCTTCAATGTAAACAATTAGAATTGAAGTGTCATTTGCTGAGATACCAAAGTTTTTCAAAGCCTCTGAAATCTAAGGGGAGAAAAACAAAACAAAAGGATAACACGTCAATATTTCCTCTATCTGAAATCTCTCTCCCATCTGCCTTCTTCTCTTCAGCCCCAAACTACTTCCTTGGTCAGGTTCTTCTTATTTTTCACAGCTAACAGTGCTCTCTGCTACAGGTTTTCCCTTCAACAATCCATTTTCAACATCGACCACTTCTGTCTCTGAAGGACTCCTTGCTTAACAGCTATGCCAGCAGACTTCTTGGCATGGCACTCGAACACACCTCCCGCTGGCCCCAGGTGACTCTCCAGCCATGCACTCCTACCTTCTAGCCAGATTGGATTGTTGGGGGATCCCCTCACATTTCATCTTTTTTTGCCTGTGCTCAGACTTTGTCCTCTGCCTCTGGTTTGGCTAGTGAACTCATCCTTCAAGGTGCAATTTAAATGTCACTTCCCACTGCCCTTTCCTTCCTGCAGAATGAACTGTTCCTCACCACAGTTCCCACAGATCTGAATTAATATTTCATTAAATCATTTATCCTAGTGCATTTTAACCTCTGTCTTGCATGTCTGCCTCTCCTCAAGAACCTAGTTGTTTCTTCTACTCCAGAACCGTAACTGGGACAGGGACACGCTCAACAAATGTTTGTTGAATACGTTCTTGAATTATTTTAAATGATCTCAAAGAAGCAGTAATTATCTGGTAAATTTTATTGCAGGTACTTGGGAATTCTATTATCAAGCTGAGATAACTGCATTTTATAAACTTTTCAATCATCTGTATTTTAAATCATGATGTAACAGGGTTCCTAACTTTTCTCTTGATATTAGTACCAGCTTGTGTTGTAATGAGTATTGATGACAGCAGTAATATTGAAACCTTCTCCGCAAAATGTCAGTCAGCTTTTCATGTGCCACATGTGGAATGTCTTTCGCTCATTAACCTTCATTGAGAAGGTGTTATTATCAGTTATCTCAAACCACAAACTTTTGCTACATACTAGCTGTGTGAGTGAGCATGTGTTAAGGGCTATTCTAGGTACCCCGAAGACTTCCAGTGTATGGAAAAGACAGGGGTTCTGCCCTCCAGGAGTTTACGGGGAGAGTGAGAGATGTGTATAATACAAAATATCCATGCCTAATGCTTTATCATTTAGACTTCTGACAGCTTCTTGAGCAAAAACACTTCAGGGCTCTTCCTGACTCTATATGGTTATAAGGACAAAACTATCCTCACTTAATTTAGCTAAGCTTTTGTTTATACATATGTAAAATGACTCCAAAGCTTCTTCATCTAGTAAGTGGCTGAGCTGAGCCTAGACGCTCTGTCCAAGCTCTCTCTGCTATTATTTTGGTTTATTACTAACAGCGGGTTTACAAGAATTTAGCCTCCAACCCAACACTGAGTAAAACTATGTTGTTTCGACAACAGAAAAAAAGTAAGTAAATTCCATATTACATTGTTATTTGGAGAAAGGTTGAAAATAATTTCAGTAGACAAAGTTCTTGTCTTCATTTTTCCCAGTTTGTAGAGGTGAACTGCTTTGTTTGCTGCTACAAGTATCTGAAATGGATCAACAATCTACCAAAGAGAAAAAAAAAAAAATTACATAAGAGAATCTGGATCATGGAAGATCACGGACGCCCTGCCACACGATGATGCCAGTGTCGGGCTGTTTTACTTCTCCACAGTTCCTATGGACTATATTCCCCCAATTACTATCTGAAGGGCCTGAGTATTCAGGAAATCACAGAATTTTAAAGTTACAAGAACTTATATGAATAATAAAAAAAGTTTAAAATAACATTTCTTGAGGGCTAATACTATAGGGAAGACCATATTCTAAACATTTTACTTGTGTTATTTTCTGTAATCCTTGAAACTACCCTATGAAACTGCTATTATTCACATGTAATAGACGAGGAAACCAAAGCACAGAGAATGTCTAGATTTTAATCCCTGCTCTGCCATTTACTACCTAGGGAACCTGGGCAAGTTTCTTAGCGGTTTATCTGTTAGATGTAGGTAATAACAGTACTTACTTCATAGAGTTATTGCAAAGATTAAGTGCTTTAATATATGTAAAGCACTTAGAACAATGCAAGGAACGTTGTAAGCACTTCATAAAGGTTGGCTATGACTTGCTCTACGGATCATCATAAGTGGCAGAGCTGGGATTAAGCCCTGGTAACGTGACTCCACAGTGCGAGCTTGTAACCACTACACTTTGCCTCCTTCATAGAGATTTTCTAGTTCATTAGCCACTATGTCAGAGCCAGAACCACAACCTCTCATATCTCCTATGGCAGGGCCTGCTGCTTTTGCCTTTATTCACTGTTAGATTCAAGGTTGGCCAGCTCTGACTTCACAGCTTTGAGAAAAACTTTTTATCTGAAGATGACAGAATTTTAGGTTAACCTATAACATCAAGAAATATTAACAGATTATTAAACGGCCCATATGGCACACTTCATTGTCACTCTGTACTTACCACTGTAGGATTTATTAATGAGCCACTGATGGCTCCTTCCATGGCCTTTCTTCTCAAGTCGCCAGCATTTTTTACATCTTTAAATAAGAGAAGGGTCACCCTGCATTCGGGAAATAGGTCCAACTGATGTGTTAACTGCATTTCACAGACAAGCGGGAGTCTACTGCAAAAACTGGAAAGACCAATAAATTTCTTTTATTTAAAAGTTAACATTACAACTCATTTCATTAACAAGTATCCTTGCTAACATGTACGAAAATTAATTCTAGTAAGAAAAGTATACAACTATAGAACTAGAAAATTCCGTCCCAAAAGCACATTTAGCATTCTCATGAGATGCTGTCTTTCTAACCCGGCTGGCTGAGTTCTTTACCATTCTTGGAAAAGAGCCAAGGGAGGTGGCTGGTCCCCTGGTTGTACAGATGAAGCTGGTTATGGTGCACGTTTAGGGGTAGATTCCCCAAGAGACATCTAGAAGCAGAATACCAAGAATTTTTTGGACCACAGGTTACTTATGGTATTAATTAAACGGCACTCCATCTTAGCCTTTAACTTTCTGATCTCACCAGAAAATAAACGTAAAGAGTATCACACTTGAGCCAAAGATGTTCATTTCACACCTGGAAATTAGGCAGAGAATACAATTATTAAATAATTATTATAGAATCTTTTTCTTAGCCCTTATCACAACTTAAATGAATCGTGCGTTTAGCAGTTGTATCTTCTTACTAGACTATAAACTAGTGGAGGGACCGAGTCTACCATTTCCTCAGTGCCTGGCCTCATTAGGCACTCGATAAACACTGGCTAAGGGACCCATAGGTGTCCCAAAAACACACAGTTACAGCTGTCCGGGGTCGGGTTCTACCCCTTCCTTACCCTCTGCTCTCCCCTCGCTCCCGCTGCCCGCTAGCGCCCAGGGAAGACTCACTGTCCCGGGTCCGGTCCGACTCGGAAAAGCTCCCCCTCGGTAACAAAACTTCAACTTCCGGAAGCTTGGCCGCGGCTGCGTCCAATCCCCGCTCTCCCCGAGCCGTTTCCGGCTGCGCCGACTCCTGGTCGCTATCTTTTTCTGGGTCCCCGCAGGAGGAGTCTCCGACCTTCGTTCCGCCAGCCTCTCCGGTGACCGTCTAGCATGAGTTCCGTCAGTGGATGCAAAGAAGAACAGGGGCTCCGTCTGTCTTCCCGCGAGGGACACGAAAAGAACCCGTGGCCCAGAAGCTGCGATGTGAGTATAATTTCCCAGCTTTGTCCCTAAGTCTCCTTGGGCCTTGGACGAGACGTCCTCAGTTTCGTCCTGTGCAAAGAAAAGTACTGACCTCGACGAGCTCTACATAGGTTTCCGCCGCTCGAGCACAGTTCTTTTTCGGGGCAGGCGGGACTCACTCCGCTGCTTGTTCTCGGAGCGGTCATTTAGGAAGGATCTCCTTGAGCCGCTGGCGCTCGGTGATTCGCTTCGGATACTTATGAAAAGACGGTGACAATACTAACTTCTTCCTTCATCTACCAGGCTCAGAAATCGGACATGTCAAACCTGAATATATCAGCCTCCTAGAGAAGAGAAAATCCCCAATACAGAGGATTATTTTCGCCGTTCTTTATGCTGGAAAATCTTAATCCGTGAAGAATGGATTTAACTTTGCTAACAACCAAAAGCCGTATAAGGCGAGTCTAATTTAAAAACGTGTAATCAAAGATTAGGTCTGGATGTTAGGTTTTTAAAAACCAGTCTTGTATATGTCCCTCAAAAGAATTCCAAAAGAGTCCTCAGTAGGGCCTTCAAGGAGGTTGGTGCTATTGCTGCAACCTTCCTCTCCCACCTTAACCCCTCTACCCAAGCCTAGTGCTGATTTGCATTACTAGTTTGTCTCCGAACAGCACTGATTGTTCATGGACTTTGTCTTTTGCTGCTGCTGGACTTCTCTAGAATGCTACCGTCACCAGTCAGGGCCTGTCAAGACCCTGGCTATTCAAGGACCAATTCATTAGATAAAACGTCACCTCCATCAGGGAGCTCTCCTTAATTCCACGCCTACATGTCTCTTTAATAGCATTTGTCCCCTTCTCGTATTATTTTTTTTTTTACATCTCCTTTGCCAGCCCAGTGATTGTGTCTTTCTCATCAGTGTATCTTCTCAAGTGCTTTCGGCCTTACCGACGAGTGCTTAACACATCCTTGCTCAATGAAGAGTGGCACACAGAAATGCCAGTGTTTCATCCCCAACCTTCTTATTCTGCACGCTCTGCTGTTGTCATCTCATCCTCTCCCATCACTTCAACTATCAGCCGTATGCTGGTGATTCCCACTGAGTCCCAGGCATGTATTTCCAGTGCTTATTGAACATCTCCACCAGGGTGTCCCACAAGCATCTCTGCTTAATTCCCCCTACCCCAATTTTCTTCTCCCCTTCTCAGGTAATGGGATCACCACCTACCTAGCCACAAAACTAAAAAACTTCACTTACGGTTTTTGCTCTTCTATCCTCACCTCCCAAATTCAGTTGGCCACCAAATTCTGAAGTGTCTTGAATCTGTCACCTTTCTATTTTTTGAATGACTGATGGATTCCCACTCCCTACTTTGGGCCCTCGTCACTGCTTACCTAGGTTATTACACTGTTATGTAGTGGTAAAACAAGATACCCAATCTGCCTGATTTCTAATCCTGGCTCCACTATTTACTGTGTGGCTCTAGGAAATAACATACCCTTTCTGTGCTTTGTCTAAAAGTAGGAGTAATTATAAACTTATCCCCATGGGTTTTGTTTTTTCTTTTTGGTGTGTGTGTAAACTTTAAGGTCCCTGGGTGGCACAAGTCGTTTGCACCTGGCTAGTAACCTAAAGATTCTCATTTGTGTATTTCTCCCATGCTTTAGGCCTTAGGGGCAAGTGCTTAACACATACTTGCTCAATGAAGAGTGGCGCACGTAAACGCCAGTGTTTCATCCCCAACTTTCTCATTCTACACGCTCTGTGGTGTGATTTTATCCTCTCCCATCACTTCAAAGATTGGCAGTTTGAACCCTAGTGGCACTGTGGAAGAAAAGTCTGGCGATCTGCTTCTGTAAAGATTACAGCCAAGAAAACCATATGGAACAGGTTTACTTTGTAACACGTGGGATCGCCATGAGTCGGAATGGAATTGACAGTAGTTGGTTTGGGGTTTTCTTGGTGGCCATTTTCATTCCAAAATTTATTAAAATAATTTATACACCAAAAAGATTAAAGGGCATCAATTGGCTTTTGTGCCTTTACAACATAAGTTCTAAATTAACTTTAATATCTACTGAAATACATCAATTGGCAGACCTTCATGACCTTAATACTAGGACTCAAATTAGTTATACCTGGGACCCTGCTAAATTTAAGTGGTACCACCTGTAATCTTAGGGAAGTTATTGAATATAAAATAGAGAACAAATAAATATGCTTCATCTTAACCATTGAAACTATTAGCTTGCCTAAATTTCCAACAGTCGTAGCCCCCATTGCCCTAAAAATACCCAATAGAGGGCATGGATACTGATACAATGAGTAGTAAAGTAACATTAAGTCTTTGACACTTACAGACTGGCTTGACAAAATGGGACTCCATGAACTTGTGGTTAAGCATTTGGCTGCTAACCAAAAGGCTCGCAGTTCGAATCCACCAGCTGCTCCTTGGAGACCCTATGGGGCAGTTCTACTGTGTCCTATAGGGTTGCTGTAGGGTCACTATGAGTTGGAATCGACTCGACAGCAACGGGTTTTAATAAAAGTTACAACAGGGGCTTCAAGGATTAAAACTTGTAAGACCTAATTAATGAAAGGGATGATTACCCCCACTACTTCTCCATTTAACAGGCCAATTTTGCCTATTCTCAAACCTGGAAAGGATAACTGGAACTCACGCTGGATTGCTGAAGCCTTAATGCTCTGGCCCCATCCATTAAAGCCCCATACCCAATATTTTTAAAATGACTGCCTCCATCCAATCAGCAATCAATATATATTTTACTGGTATAGATTTGGCTAATATGTTCTGTTTAGTGCCTGTCCTCTCAGCTGTAGCTTGCTTTCACCTCCGAAGGGACATACACTTTTACCAGACTGCCCACAGAGTACCTCAGCAGCCTTACCAACAAACACAATCTTTGTAGGCAAGATCATAACTGCATCCATCTTTCTCCAGGAACACAGGTTTGATTATATTACTGACATCCTCCCTGGAGATTTGTTTAACACACTATTTAAGGAAACACAAGTCCAACATCTTTTAGTCTTTTTTTGGGTCCTGAAGGCAACACATTGCTCATTTACAAGTTTTTACTTAATCTCAGTGATGCTATTTACAGTGCAGCTCACCTTGAGTGGGGCCCCTCCAATGAACGGCTCTAGAATCTATCTAAATTAAAATCAGCAGGTACTCTGGCTAGTGCCTGCTGAGACTCCTTCACTGCAGAGCTTTAGGAACCTCTTCTCATGCCTCCCGGAGTCTCTGGACCACATATGTTGGTCACAAATTGCCCATGGGCTTCTAATGCAAGAAACTGCCTTCTTGGCCCTGTGCAATGCACCATTAGAGTGACAACTGCTGACTGCGTGCTGGGCTTCTTGGAAATAGAGGCTCTCACAGACCCTGAGCCTGTGACCCACCTGCCCATCATATCTTAAATCCTGGAAACAGCACCCCACAATCTCGGCCTGGCTACCGAGGCCTCTTTGATACAGGATGGAACCAAACCTGGGCTCTCTGGCATATTCCACCTACAGGAGGGGGTGGCCTCCCCTATCCTCAGTCCCTTGCCAGATGCCATGGTGCTGGAGGAGGCCACCCCTCCCCCAGGCTCATCAGCTACCTGGGAAGTCCCCTGGGATTAACTGAGTGAAGAGAAACGGGAATTCCTAGACTACACAGATGGTGCTGCCCTCATCACAAGTAATGAAGCTCAGTAGGATGTTGCTGCTTTCCATTCACCCATCAGGATATCCCTGATAAAGAAAGGGACCCAAGGGTCACACAATCGGCCAAACTTCAGGCAGTTATCTTAGCACTGGATGGCCTGGCCCACAAATGACCCATCTGCATATTTTTTACAAACTCTTGGGCCATAGACCAGGAACTGTCCCATTCAAGGTAAAGAATTCTGGGAATCTCTTGCCTCACAGCCAGAATATAAAGAAGGTCACACATATCTCTAAATATACTAAGGCCACAATACAAAGGTACACCTTTCAGAGTTCCAGACATTACTGATGATAACCAAGGCACACATTTCACTTCTCAAAATACACAATGACAAAGGCTCTTGAAAAAAGGCATTCAATGGACCTTTCATCTCCCTGATTGGTCCCAGGCAATTTACTTGAGAGACATAATGGTCTCCTCAAACAACTATTTAAATTATAAAATAACAAATCCCTAAATGGGTCTCCCTCTTGCCCTAAGCCGTAATCTCTCTTACAGCCCCTTGGCTCACCTCACACCGACTTTAAGAAAAAACCTTCCCATCTCCCTTTCCTGTATTTAAAGGGGATATGGCTTGCCTCTGTATGTATAAAAACTTACTATAGACGTCATTGTGTAACATCGAGTGGATTCCAACTCAGAGCAACCCTAAGGGACAGGGTAGAACTACCCCATAGGGTTTCCTAGGCTGTAATATTTATGGAGCCCAAATCAAGAGCACACACTGTCTTGGGAGCTGATAACTACTGATTGCCCTACAGGCCCATCACCAGCCTAATGGACAACTGAGGCAAAGGCCCACAGTAATTGGCTAAATTCCGCGGGGGGCGGTGGGGTGGGGGGGCGGCTGCCTACAGCTTAGTGCTGAGAATCCAATCTCAGCTACAGCTATGTTAATTGGAAATCAGTCTAGAACCTTGTTAACTACATGAGCCACATCAATTCAAATGGGTATCCACCTGAGGATACTTCAGTCCCACACCCTCACACCACATTGCCTCCCATACTGGAGAGGACTTCGCCCAGACACTGAGTCCACTGCCCCAGGGCTGCCCACAGACTGCCTCTCCTGAGGCACTGATAAACTGACACGGGGCATTTACTGATTTTCTTCCTTCATATTATGGAATCCGTTGTTTCTCAAGCTTTCTGTTTGCTCAGCCCATGGCCCTGGTATACTTCTCACTGCCAAAACGTACACCCTAGAAATCTTGTAGAGGTTACTATCTGTGCCATTCTAAAAATTAACAGTGACTATTACTTTCCCTAGGAGGCAACTGCCTCATATTGGTCCATCCCTCGATCCCCTGAGGACTTCCCACTCCCCAGTGCTTTCTCCTACTTTCCCCGTTCCAACTTTCCACTATGGCCTCTCACCCTTCATCTGTGACCAGATCACAACTACCCTTCCCCTGGGTTACAAATGAATACCACTAACCTTTGTGACACAAGAAATATACCAAGATGTTATTATCATAAAAAATAAATTCATATTTTACCACTCCACCAAGATATTATTAGAGACTCAGAAGCTTCAGATTTGTTTTCTTGGCTAGAGAGAGAGTTGCTGTTGAGTTAATTCCATCTTATGGTGTCATGCTCATCACTGCTGGCATGTTCAAGTCTATCATTGCGGCTACCGTGCCAATTCATCTCACTGAGGGTCTTCCTTGCCCTTACTGGCTCTCCACTTCACCAAACATGCTGTCCTCCTCCAGTGATTGATCCCTCTTGATGACACGTCCAAAGCAAGCTAGTCAGACAATGTTCTGTTGTGATCCATAATGTTTTCATTGGCTAATTTTCAGACATAGATCACCAGGTATTTCTTCCTAGCCCGTCTTAGTCTGGACGCTTCACTGAATCTGCTGGTATCTGAATACCAGTGGCATAGCTTCCAGCATCACAGCAACATGCCAGCCACCACAGTACAACAAACTGACAGTTGGGTGGTGTTTTCTTGGCTAATATCATACAAACAGGAAAAGTAATTATGGACCAGCCCTCAAAGACTTCTTATACTTGTTTTCCTCCTCCTTACGTGTCATAATAAAATATCTTCTATGCTGTTTAGGGCTACTTATGCCCTATTCCCTGAAAGTCTCCACCACTATTCAGATCATCCAAATAATCAAGCTCAAAACTGATGTCAAGACATCAAGGGGTCAACTGCAATAACATTTTCTTAAAATGCTGTCTTGAGCCAGTTTTGAGGCCCTGGCTGTAGGCCAGTCCATCCCCCTTCTTAAGGAGCTGATTAAGCTTACTTTCTAATCATTCTCCTTATGAGGTTCTCACACTCCTGGGCCACAACGCACCCATACTAATTGCCCCAGAGTACCCCCAAACTAGGGACAGTTCTGTGCCCCTGAGCTTGGAGAATTATTCAAAATGCCCAATCCCCAGGAAGCCCACACAACCTATCTAACCCTATCCTGTTTGCCATACATAAGCTCTCTCCTTGTCCTCTGGTGTAACCCCGTGTGGCCCTGCATTATGGCTTGCTATACCTCCCTATCTCTGCGAACCGTTAAGTATAATAAATCTAGTTACTTTTCATGACTTCTTTCTCACATTGCACCTGGCTTACCATCTCATGAAACCACCCCAAACTGGAAACAATCCAAATGTTCATCAACAAATGAGTGGATAAACAAAGTGTCGTATATCCATACAATGGACTACAACTCAGCAGTAAGAAGGAATCCATTATTACTACATACAATAACACAGATGAATCTCAAAATAATTTTGCTGAGTAAAAGAAGCCAGACCAAAAAAAAGTATATACTGTATGATTCCATCTACAAAACTAATCTATAATAAGAGAAAGCAGATGAGTGGTTACTTGGGTAGTAGAGCATGGGGGCGGAAAGGAGGGATCACAAAGGGGCACAAGGAAACTTTTGGGGCAATGGGTATGTTCTATCTTGATTGTGATAACGATTTCATAAATGTATACATATGCCAAAACTTATCAAATTGTACACTTTAAAAATGTACAGTTTAAAAATGAGGCTAATGGAGCACAACAGTCCAGGGACAAGGACTAGAAGGCAGGAGGGGATAGGAAAGCTGGTAATAGGGAACCCAAGGTCGAAAAGGGACAGTGTTGACATGTACTAACTGTTTAATGAGAAACTATGTTTTGTAAACCTTCATCTAAAGTGCAATTAAAAAAATGTGCAGTTTACTGTATGCCAATTATACCTCAATAAAGCTGTTTTAAAAAAAAAAAAAAACCACAATGAGATACCACAAATTCTGTATTAGAATAGCTACAACAAAAGAAAAAACACTGACAGTACCAAGTGCTGCCAAGAATGTGAGCAACTGGAACTCTCCAACGTTGACGGGGGTGTAAAATAGTAGAGGCACTTTGGGAAAGTTGGGCAGTTTCTTATAAACATATACTTACCACACAGCAGCAATCCCAAGGGAAATAAAAACAAAACATGTTCACACAAAAGCCTGTGTGTGAATGTTTACAGCAGCTTTGTTCAAAATTTCAAAACTGGACACAACCCAAATATCCTTTAACTGGTAGCTGTGGCATATCTGTTGACCTTGCTTGTTGCACCGAACTATCAAGCCAGCATCCAAGGTTGCCATGAAAGACATGACTTGTGCACAAACACTGGATGAATAACACTTTGATCACACAAGAGATAGAGCAAGGTCAGCTTTAATAGTGGGCGCCAGTCCCCCATGGCCAGTGGGTCATTCCTTGCAGCAGCTGACACAGAGATGATGGTCTGCATGCACCCTTCTTGTGCTGCAGAAGAAGGACCTCATTCCCTCCCAGCCAGAACAGATACAGAAATGGGGTTGGCCAGGCACCATAGAATGTGCACACTTAATGAAGCAGTACCTGGGAACGCTGGTGTGCTCAGGGCAAGACAGGAGGGAGGTACTGATAGGCCACCAGCTGCCATGGGATGTGTTTTGGGTCAAGATACTCTGGGAAAGGGAATCAGCCCACACTTTTATGCTAAGAAGCCACACGGTTGCAAATTCCATATTTGCAAATTCACCTACTCACTAAAATTTATTTGTAATCCCAAAATCAAGACTCACAGTGCTTTTGTGGTCATTTGTGAACATGCACTGAGCAGTGAAAAGTTTGAGTCACCCAATGTGCATGTTACCAGCTGAGGTCAAACAATGCAATGCTTGACTTCTTGTTTCAGTTCTCATACTGTAAACAAGTGTCTTTTCTGCAGCATATTTGGTGCCATGTTTTTCACGTTTGTGCTTTCTGTTGACGATTCTGCTGTATAAAATGGCCTGCAAGCATAGTGCTGAAGTGCTGTCTAGCATTCCTAAACTCAAGAAGGCTGTGATGTGTCTTACAGAGAAAACGTGTGTTAGATAAGCTTCGTTCAGGCATGAGTTCTAGTGCTGTTGGCTGTGAGTTCAATGTTAATGAATCAATGTTAAATAAGGTGTCTTTAACAGAAATACACATAGAACAAAGTTATGTATTGAGTGGCTGAAAAAATGCTGTGACCAGAGGCTTGCAGGAACCTAACTTTGCATTTCTCCTGGGAACAATAACTCAGTATTCACTAATTCAGTGTTTGAGGCAAATTTATAGAACATAACTACTGTGAATAGCAAGAATTTACTGTATATGAAAACTGTTGAAGCTGGATGTAGGCGCATGAGAGTTCATTACACTATTCTGTCTACACTTGCAAATGTTTGAAATTTTCCATTATAAAATGCTTTTTAAAAAAGCATAGTTCTGATCCAGATTTCTCTCTTCTCCAAAAGCCTAAGATATTTGAACTTCTGAAATGAAAACAGCTAAACAGAGATGAGCTTCAGAAACTAGTTTTATTAGGTAGTGTTGTAAGTGTCCCTATTGCCTCTGGAAATATTTCAAATTTCTCTTTAGAAAGATTATTGTAAACTGTTAGGGATGAAAGGAAAATCGTATGTTTAATCCTTTAAAATTAAACAAATATATATACTCATATTATACATAAATACATATATATGTGCATATTTCCACATGTATACACTCACGTATTTCCAAAAATCTTAATCTTGAAGGCTATTAAAAAAAAAAAAAAAGAAGAAGCCAGGCTGACACATCTGGTCCCAAGCCCAAGGCTCATTTGTGGGTCACAGGGCAAGGTGGCAGCCTGTCCCCTTCCACAATATCCACAGAACGGAATACTAACCCATTGCTGTCAAGTCAATTCCAATTCACAGTGACCCTATAAAAAAGAATGAACTAATGATCCACTCAATGGAATGGATGAACCTCAACAGCATTATGTTAAATGAAAGAAGCCAGATTCAAAAGGCTACATACTGTATGATTCCACTTACATAACATTCTAGAAAAGGTTAAATTATAGGGACAAAAAAAGAGATCAGTGGGTACCAGGGTCCGGGGAGAGAAGGGCTGACTACAAAGGAGCAAGAGAGAAATTCTGGGTGTGGTAGAACTGTCCTATATATCTTGGCCGTGGGGTGGTGGTTACAAAACCGTAAGCATTTGTCAAAATTCAGAGAAATCTACATTTAAAAAGGGTAAATTTTGTGTTAAACAATAATTTACTGAGGTTTACTATGTGTCATGGTGGTGCAATACTTCCTTGAGCAATCAAAGTTTTCTGGCTTCCTCTGCAGCTAAAAATAATTAATACCATTTCTCCCAAAACTAAACCAAACCCATGGCCACTGAGTTGATCCCAACTCATAACGACCCCATACGACACAGCAGAACTGCCCCATAGGGTTTCCAAGGAGCGGCTGGTGGATTCGAACTGCCAATCTTTTGGTTAGTAGCCAAGCTCTTAACCACTGTACCACTAGGTCTCCATACCCTTCCAAGTGTTGTAGAGGTGTACCAGCAGAGAGAACTTAGAAAAAATCAAGGTGAAGGTGCCATTCCATTATGAGAGGCAACTGGAGAAAGATCCCAGCAGGTCATGTTCAACAGAGGAGCAATAACACAAGAGCCATGCAAGTCTTTCCAGATTTCCAGGCTTTAAATAGTCATATCCTATTCTGTTCATTAAGCAACCTTTATAATCTATAGAAGTTTTCATGTGTTCTAAATAGTTTTGAAGACAATGACCTTGTCAAGTAAATTAACCACTATAATTTAATAAACCAGCATTGTGGTTTGTAAGTTTCTCTTGCATAATGGACAATTAATCTCTGACACTTTATCCATTCCTGTGTTAGATGGCATATCTGACAATTCAGTGAAAGGAAGTTGGTAAATCCCATGACAGACTGCCAAAGAAAGAGGTATCTGAGGGCAAAAATGTCACAACTAATTACAGATAATGACTAGGTTCTAATAAGATTGTGTCCTAGGTAATTTTAAGCAAAATTTTAAACAGTTAAAAAAAAAAAAAAAAAACTTCATTAACAACTGGGCCAGTAATAGATGACAAAGACACTATTAATTTTGTACACACACACTCATATACACGTCTAGTTAGGACAAAGGAAAGTAAGATTGAATTTTAAAAAATAATTTGCAAGGGGATTCTTTATTACTTCATCAGTTTCAAAATATTTCCTTAAAAAAATTTTAGACTGGAATGATGGAGATTTTTCCTTTACTGGCACACTTTCTGTAAATTTATCAGCAAAGAGGTAAATATCAATATAATTTTTCCTTAACCTTTAACACGTAAAGGAACAATAAAATAGATAATAAACCTTATTTGACCTGATCCAATTAAGTCACTCCAGCTGTCTTCAGTCCAGCTCTGGTCTCCAGATAGATTTCTAGAAGAGGTTCATGTCACTCGGGCCATCCCCAATAGGAAAGGATCGATAGCATTGTCTGTTGTAAGGTATGTTAGGAGGTAACCTTTTATACTGGGCTGCTTGAGTGGTGTCTGGCTTTACATTCCAAGAGTATCTCCTTTGTGAATAGTCCTGTCCAGGGGGACCAGGAGGGGGAATAAGGCCTCTCTGGTAAACATTCTGATTCTGGGAAAATTTCCTTAAAACAAAACAAAAAGTGATAAACTATTATTAGGATCTACAACATATACTAAGTTTTATGAATACACAGATATTATGGTTCCACTGTCTCCTACCTGTGTGACCTTGACAGATAAATTACTTAATCTTTCTCTTACCCATTGCCATCGAGTGAATTCTGACTCATAGCAACCCTACAGGACAGAGTAGAATTGCCCCATAGGGTTTCCAAGGAGTGGCTGGTGGATTCAAACCGCCGACCTTTGGTTAGCAGCTGAGCTCTTAACCACTGTGCCACCAGGGCTCCACTGTTCTTAGTCCTTTATAAAATGGAGCTAATAATACCCTTCATCTTCATGGGTTGGTATGAAGGCAAATTAAGACATTTAAATTACATATAACAACACCTTGGCACACACTAGGTTCCCAGGAGCCTTTTCACCCTTCTCTATAAATTCACATCCATACTATTTTACTCAGACACGTTCCTTCCAAAAGTCTGGCAGGGTGGACATGAGACAGAAAAGGTATTTACTTTTGAAAACAGAAAGCTGCTTTCATCTTATAAATAAGGAGAGAAAGAAAGAAAGATTCTAACCCTGGCACATGCAAGAAATCTGGGGAATTAGAATTTAACTGTTTCAAAAGCAAGATCAGTAACTCTAACATAAATCATACAAAAGAAAATTTGGAAACCTGAGCAAAGAAAATATAAAACCCTCCAAAACCCTAGTCTGACTTAATCTAATTCAATTGGTTAATATTTCCTTTTGGCTTTTTTCCCTTAGCACTTTTTTTTACTGTTGAATCATAACGTATTATTTTCATTTGTCGTAAGTGAGCTATCACTTTTAATGGCTTTATAAAATGTCATAATATGGAGAAAATAGTTTATTTAGCTTTCTTCATTGTTAGAAATGTAGGCTGCTATCAATTTTTCCATTATTATGAATAATACTGGGATTAACATCTCAGTACACCCACTCCTCATTTATTAACATGGTTAGGTGCCAAAGAGTAGGTCCTTATGCGAAATTCAGTGTTATGTGAAAATGGAGGATGACCCCATCAGATCACGAAGTACAAGATGACTACATCATTACATAACTGCCAAATTACATCATTACATAACTGCCAAACTACTGAGAATCATGGCCCAGCCAAGTTGACACATAACCTTAACCATTACAGCCAACGTTATTCTCACCTTGCACCTTGGCATTTGTTAATGCCAGACATATGTTGTTAATGCACATAATTGTCAGATAGTAGATTTTTTACTATTGTTGTAAATACAAAATGGTAACAAGATAGTTGATAAGTGAGGAGTAAGAGTATATACACTTACTGTATCCTAAGCATCGATGCCAGTGTCTGATACATAGTAGTGAATTTGAGAAATGTGTTGACTATTGGAATGAATACAGCTTTATCCATATTTTGAAGTATTTCCTTAGTTTCAACGTGGAATTATCAGGTGTGAGTATTTTTATGGCTATTAAAATTGTGTTATCAAAAGAGTTGTGCCAATTTTCAGTGCTATTAGCAACATAAGCAGTATCTTTGTGAAATGTTTACATCTTTTAAAAATGTCAATGCCTTTTACAAGGGTTTATTTTAACCATACTGAGGTTTTCCCTGTTCCCAAGTGAAAATACTTTTGTGATTTATCTGTTTAAATCCTTCACAAATTTCCTTACTAAAATTTTAGTATTTTCCATATTTGTATTTATTCTTTAAATAACAACAACCTTCCTTATTCTGAAATCTATGCCACTATTAATGTAGCCTAAAAATGCAAGATCCTTTTTGGTAGCTACATCAAATTGTTTACCTAAACTAAGTTTAGAATCAATGACAATGTCTAAGTCTCTTTCCCAATTGCCTTTGAAAAGTAGTGTATTCCCCATCCTGTACTTGATTTTCTAGCCTCAAATGAAAAACACGGAGCAAGGCAATGCCTCCTAGCTGATGCTTATCTGCAAGAAAATGTCAATTCTGGGCAAAGGACATGAATAGACACTTCACCAAAGAAGACATACAGACTGCTAACAAACACATAAAGAAATGCTTGTAATCATTAGCCATTAGAGAGATGCAAATCAAAACTACAATGTGTACCATCTCACCCCAACATCACTGGCACTAATCAAAGAAACAGAAAATAACAAATGTTGGAGAGGTTGTGGGGAGACTGGAACTCATACACTGCTCATGGGAATGTAAAATGGTACCACCACTATGGAAAATGGTATGGTGCTTCCTTAAAAAGCTAGAAGTAGAAATATCATATGACCCAGCAATCACACTGTTAGGTATACACCTTAAAGAAACAAGAGCCATGACCCATGTTCATTGCAGCATTATTCACAATAGCAAAAAGATGGAAACAACCTAAGTACCCATAAACAGAGGAATGGATTAACAAACTGGTACATACAACGGCTACTACGCAACAATAAAGGATAATGACGAACCTGCGAAAGATCCCATAACATGGATGAATTTGGAGGACATCATGCTGAATGAAATAAGTCAATCACAAAAAGACAAATACTGTGTAAGACTACTATTATAAAGAAACAAGAAAAGGTTTACACACACACACACACACACACACAAATTTCTTTGATGGTTACTAGGGATTGGAGGGAGAGGGAGGGTAAATTACCAAACAGATAGAAGACACGTGTTAATATTGGTGAAGGGAAAGGCAACACACAATTTGGGGAAAGTTAGCAAAGCATGACCAAGGCATAGGAGTACACTGAGAAGAACACAGGAATAAAGGGCAACAATAGTAATTACTGTAGCATAGACAATCCTGCAACAATAGTATTAAGAAACACTAATCTAGGAATGGATACATAGGTAGGTAGATATGCCAAGAGGTGTGGGATCCTGTATCTGTAGGGATCCACCTACAGATATAGGTTTGATGGTAGATATTTTTACATACATAACTGTAGGTGCTACTTATATGTTAATATAGACAAGAAAGCACACAAGTGCCACAGTCGGGGCAACTTCTTAGACATAACAAAACACCTCATGGGACAAAGTTCCTAGGCTCAAAGGACCTTAGACTCAGGGGACATCTACTTCGATTGGCACAACACAGTTCATAAAGACAAAGTTCTGCATCCTACTTTGGCGAGTAGCATCTGGGGTCTTAAAAGCTTGTGAGCAGCCATCTAAGACGCCATCAAACGGTCCCAACCCACTTGGAGCAAAGGAGAATGAAGAACACCGAAGACCCAAGGGAGCAATTAGTCCAAAGGACTAAGGGACCACAGGAACCACAGCCTACATGACTCTGAGACCAGAACTAGATGGTGCCCAGTTACCACTACCGACTGCTCTGACTGGGATCACAACAGAGGGTCCCAGAGAAAGCAGAAGAAAAATTGTACAACAAAAAATCAAATTCACAAAAAAAAAAAAAAAAAAGACTTACTGGTCTGACAGAGACTGGAGGAATCCCCAAGGCTGTGGCCCTAAGACACCCTTTTGAACTGGAACTGAAGTCATTCCCAGAAACCACCTTTCAGGCAAACCAGAGACAGGCCCATAAAATACACAATAACACCCTAGAGGAATGTGCTTCTTAGAACAATCAATTATATGAGATCAAAAGGGCAAAATTTGCCCGAAAGCAAAGATGAGAAGGCAGGAAGAGGTAGAAAATCGGGAGGAAAGGAAATGGGGAGAGTGCTGACACATTGTTGGGAATGAAACCAATGTCATGGAACACTTTACATACAAACTATTGAACGGGAAACTAATTTCCTCTGTAAACTTTCATCTAACGCACAAAAAAAAAAAATCAAAAATTAAAAAAAAAAGACATTAGCTACTGAAAAAAAAGTCAATTCCTCATAATTATCATAATGTGTTTTTACTAATTTACAGTATTACTTTTTATTCAATTCTAGAAAAAGGAAAAGCAGAGGTACCTGACTGACTGGGTGTGCGAATGGAAATGCCGAGATGGTGTTGGGTAATCCTGGGTCCGATGTAGATTATACCTAGGTCTTTGGCGAACAAACTTATTAGTGGTGTGGACTGGTTCCATGAGATGTGCTGATTCTTCAAAACCACTTGACCTGGATACGCTGGAACCCCAATTCCTCAAAGAGAATATTTCCACACAATATTACTGGTTTCCCAATTTAGGAGCCAATTTAGTCACTATATTTTGCCTATGAAAGTAACAATCCTTTCCTCCCCCATCTGTATTTATGCAGGTTTCCCCAGCAAGCAAACATGTTACAAGAAGAATGGATATATGCAACTTAAATTATATAAAAAGAGACCTCCCTAACTACAAACCTCACACTTACTTTCTGATAGGAAAACAAAACTTACTTTCTGATAGGACCATTCTGAAGGTCTTCAATATAGTTCATTCTTTCTATGCAATGTCCCCGGCACCTATTGAATACTGAGGAGTAGATGGAATGTTAGAAATAACTGTCCAAAAAGCAAATCTTTCCTACAGAAAGCAAATCAAAGCTGAAATCCATTAACTAATTATTCCGACTGTTACATACCACTACTTCTAGATACATCCCTTTATAAACTTCTGGCAGATTATCTTATATCAAAACAAATGAATTATAAACCTTTTTTTTTCAAAATTTGAGAAATCCATCTACATTTCCACCTTCAACTTTTACAAAAAGAGAAAAGTAGTGGCAACCCTCATACTTACATTCAATTGCATCATCTGGCCTCATGCCTTCTACATCAATCAAATATCTAACAAAACAACATAATTTGGGTCATTTAGATGTACAAAAAGAAAAAAATCAAGTTTTTTCAAAAAAGGTCCAATTTCACTTGCAAATATAGATATAAAAATCCTAAGAAAACATCAGCATATTGAATCCAACAATTAGTAAAGAATGATATACCATGACCATAATAAAAAAGGCTTTATCCCAAGAATAGAAGGATGACCCAGCTTTAGAAAATCTACTAACATACTTATTTACATTAATGTAAGAATTTAATTAATATATGAAAGAAAATGCAGTACCAAACTGACAGACATTAAAAAGGTATCTCATAAAATTCAAGTCATTCTTGATCAAAATGCCTCGTACCATAAAAACACAAGAGTCCTTAACATGACAGTATTTATCAAAAAAACAATAAGCAAAAAACAAACTGAGAAAAATATTAACATTAATGTAAAAAATACTGTCTAACTAACTGTATACGCCAGAAACTTAGGAGCAACCATCATTGTCAGCCATTTCTTCCTTACCCTCATCTCCAATCCACCACCAAGTCCTGACAACTATATTACCTAAATATTTCTAGAGGATGTCCCCATTTTCCCACCAAAATGATCACCACAACCTGGTCCAAGCCACCAGTATGCCGGGACTTCAGCAAAAGTCTCCTAACGCGTCTCCCTGCTTCCACTCTCCCCCACTGCAGTGTAGTCTCCACTCAATAGCGAAAATGATAGGTTGAAAATGCAAATTTGATTATGTTTCACACACCCCCAACAAAAAAGTCCAATGGTTTTCTATTGTTCTTAAGATAAAGTTCAAAATATTAAAAATAGTCCTGCATGATTTAGCTCCTACCTACACTAACAGCTCCATTTTAATGCCATACTTCTTCCGTGACCCTGGCTACTGGTTTCTCCAACACGGTTGTAGCTTTCCCACTACAGGGTCTTTGCCACTCACGATGCCCAGAATTCTCTCCTCAAAATCCCCATTTAGTTAATACCTACTCATCCTTCAGATATCAGCTCAAACATTCCCAGGGAGACCTTCTCTAACCTTCCCAATGAGGTAAAATCCCTCCTGTTATACACTCTCACAATACCATGTACCTCTCCTTCTTAACACTTGTTACAGTTGCAATTCTATGTGTATTTGTGTGATTCTTTAACGTCTACTCCCCCTCTAGACTGCTGGGATCCACAAAGGGACAGGTGAAGTCTTTTTGCTCACAACTGTATCCCTAACACCTAGCACAGTGCCTATGAATAACAGATGCTCAATAAATATTTTCTAAATGAAAATCATTATAATGCGGCAACACCAAAAACTGTAACGGTATATACCCTTTCACCTAGAAATTCCATTCTGAGTGAAACAATAGCATATGTATTCAAAGATGTTCGTACAGCAATGTTCATTACTTCAATGTTTTACAATACAAAAAACTCCGGACTCTTACATTCATCAACATACAAATGAATAAACTGCAGCCTTTAAAAAGAATGAGGTCTCCACGTATTTCCACAGAAATATGCCCACCACATATTAAGTTACAAAACAGAATGTCTAAGTATTATACCATTAAGTAAATTACACGTATATACGCAGTTTTTTTAAGTCTGAAAAGACATGCACTAAATTATAAATGGCAGTAATCCCTGGGGGGCACTGGGCAAGATTGCAAGGTGCCCTCACTTTCAACTTTATATATTTCTGTATGGACTGCATTTTTTGCAGCAAACTTATATTACTATTGTAATCAGACAAAAACAATTTAAAACAGCCTGCTTCTGGCGTTGGCAACTCACCTGCAGATGAGATAGCCCGTTCTGTTTAAACCATGGGTACAGTGGACCCCAATAAGTTTGTCTATGAAACAGAAAATACATAGTTAAGTATACACATTAAAAACTAATTGTATACTTTTCTGAAGAGTAACATTTATTAGTTAGCATATGCTACCACTACCCTGAAACGACAACTTTGAAGAGGAATGTGGTTTTAGGAACATACTATAAAGAACCATTTAACATAAAGCCAAAATTCATTGCCCCTTGGAAATTCTGCACAGCCCCAATCAGACCCAGTGGTATAAAAATGAGAAGGCCTGGTCAGGTACTAACAGCTAAAACTGTGTATTCTGACAAACCCGTTTGTCTTAATATAGCATACCCATCAGTAACTGATTTAATTACAGAAAAAAAGAATGGGGTGGGAGAAACAGGCTATGAGAATAACATTTGTTTCTAAATGAAAACAAATGAAATGCTTTCATTTTTGATATTGAATAGTAAAAAGAGCAAACAGTTTCTATAGTGCTCATGAGTTCCAAAAGCACTCCCATTCCTTCTTTCATTTGGTCATGGGTCTTGCAAAGTATTTGGGGAAAAAGCGAAAATGCTTGGAGACGTGAGCCCAAACCTCACAGCAGACGAAAAGAACCGAGACTAGAATCAAGTCTAAGATTTTTCCAACTATACCACAGTATTTCTTAGTCCATCATTTAAAAAATACTATGAAAAATTAAATTACACACAAAAAATGTGTAGTTTTTCTCCACAGAATCAGTCTGTGATTAGGTAGTGTCTGGTAAGAAGGCACTCATTACGCTGTTAGGACTGCTGCCACCCAACTTCTAATCATCATCTCTGTCAGGACTACTGCCAAAAATTAGTCTCCTGACTTCTAATTTCCTCTATTTCAGCTGGTCCTCCACAAAGAAGATATTATCTTTCTAAAACATAAACTTAGCTGTGTTGCTCCCTTGCTTAAAATCTTCAGTTAGCATAGAAGAAAGCCAAACTTCTTAGCAGGAATGTAGACTCCTTTATTAACTGATTTCAATCTGTCTTTCCATTTGAACTGTAAATCCACAATGATCCTATGATTTACAAGGGCCTATATAATCCACCTCCCTCCTGCTTACCCTCCCACCCTCAATCCTATTTTCTACTGCTCTGACCCTCACTCCACTCCAGCCACACTGGCCACCTGGCTATTCCTCAGACATGTCGAGCACAGTCATGCCTCAGGGACTTTGTACCTGCTGCTTCCTCTGTCTTAGAATACTCATCTCTGGGATAACCAATGACTTGGTTTCTCACTTCCTTTAAGGCTCTGCTCAAATGACATCTTGATAGAAAGGCCTTAACTGATCACTCACCATTTCCTAACCCCTTTATCCTGCTTTATTATTCTGTAAAACACTTACCACCATCTAACATCCCATGTATTTACTTGTTTATTTATTATCTCTCTCCCCCACTAGAATGTCACGTCCACAAGGGCAAGGACTTTGTTCTGTTCCCTGTTCCGAGAATAGTGTCTTCCACATAGAAAGTATTAAATAAGGTATTAAATAAATATTTGCTGAAAATGAACATATGAATCCCATGCCCCTTCACACTACTCTCTAGTCACATCAGAGGCCAGCCTTTCCACAGCACCTGTTCAACCCTGGTGCTTTATGTACTTGCCAATACCTGGGCTGCCCTTTCCTCAGTCTAGAAAAATCCTCTTCTCCCCAGCCCAGCTCAAATGCTGTCTCCTCAATCAGGGAGGGCTTTGTCAATCTGCCCGGTATATTCCCACTGAACTTAATTTATTCTTTTAGTATAATTAACCCGCTGTGTCACAGTTACTGTATGTTCACCTTCCCAGATAACTGTGTCACCTCTATATCCCCATGCCCTAGCAACAAACCGAAAAGGCTCTCAGTAACTGTTTACAGAACCTCTGTATCCCCATGCCCTAGCAACAAACCAAAAAGGCTCTCAGTAACTGTTTACAGAATCAACTTATTTTCTGAGCCTCTACCAGCTCTAGGCAGTGGATAGTGAGCCTGGCACCTGTGAGAAGAGCTTATAGCAGAGGTACCCAAAATTGATCCTAAGCAAGGCCTCAAGAGGGCTATGGTAGGGAGCAGTGCAAGACACAATGAACTTGACACAATTCAGGGAGAACACCAAAAGACTTTCCAACCAACTATACTCAGGTGTAACATGTGAACAACTAAGATGAAGTATATCCTCATGTACTCATAAGGAACTTCTAGCCCTCCCGGAACAGATTCATTCTGTGTGGTAAAGAAGCTGAGAAAGCAGATCCTTGACGCTTTCAGGAATCCTGTATAATAGTTTCACACAGAGAAGCCTGGAAGCAGTGAGTAGGCTGGCAGCTGTACCCTAACATTTTAAGATATAATATTCTGTGACTATAGCTTATACAAAGCAGGTAATTTACCTCTTTTGGAGAAGCGTGGTTATCACAAGCAAAGCAAAGCCTCTCAAGTTTTAAAGGGAAAGTACAGGGGAAGATCTGCGAACAGGGTTTAAGATATTTAAGAGCTAATGCCTACATTAAGCGACCAAGTTATAGTGTGGAAATTTATCTGAGAACCCACTGATCCAGTCCCTTTCTCACCCACTACCCCATATCTTCCCTCCCCCATCTCTATTCTTTCTCCATTCTTCCCTATCATATGGGAGAAAAAGAAAAAAGGTACATTTACTATCTGTTAGATTTATTCTTAAAAGTGTACACTCCTCAAGCTAAATTTAGAAAGAGGGCAAAATGAATGCTTTAGCTAGGGGCCAGTGGCTTTCCAAAGACAAAAGGCTCCCCAGTCTTAAAAATATGGCAAATATCATATTCTTTCTGGTACTTAGATGCCAGAAAAACACAACTGGATCCTTACAATTAAGAAGCTATTAAGATCTATTTTTTGACAGAGTAAGGTAGATCTTAAAGCAGAACAAGAAAGCATCAGCCTTGGACTTAAGTTCTTCCTGAAGAATGAGAGGTGGTGGTGTCCTTCCTCACCTGTACCCAAACTGAAAAAAAACAGCAAAATAATACATATGATAAGGAAGCAAGTCCACTGGCCTGCTGTTTTGTTTTGCTTCTAGCGGGTCTGTCTCACTCCATTTGTTGTCTCTTTTATGCAAATCTAAGACCCTGAGATTCTTAATCTTTTTTCCACCTCTCACCCCTTAGCCAATAAATAAAACATTTTTATTCCATTATATATTTTCATTCAAATTTTTTCATGAGATGCATGAGCTAGTTCAGTTCATATTTCTCACGAAAAGCATCTTCCAAACTAAACTGTTTACTTGTGACTATCAGTAGGAAAAACTCCTTACCCTACAAGCACCATCTGACATTTCATCTTAACATTATCAAACACAACAGGCCTATTGTTGGAAGTATTAAAAATCCTTAACCCCATTCAAAATGCGTATCAAAGTTAAGGGAAAAAAAACTCACCATTATCTTTATTTTCTTTCAAAAACCCATTAACAGCACATTTGAACTTAAAAATAGTGTCATCATCAGGTACCTGATGCCCAACTGTAAAAATTTTTAAGTAAGGAATAGTTTCTGGTAAATCCTATAAAGCAAAACCATGAAAATGCGTATTATTTCATTTGTAGAGAAAGAATCAAAGATTAATTAGAGCCAGAATATAAACCAAGAGATTATAATAAACTTCGTATATGAGCAATTCTGATCGAAGAGCCATTTTTTTCCCAAAGCTGCTCCAATGAAGCAGAATCGCTTGATTCATTAGAACTGCACATCAGACAGATAATCAACAGGTCTACAAACGTAAAGTACATGTGAATTAATGCATACATAATTAAAGATTATATAAATAACTCCACCTGCTATTTTACATTTCAAAGGCCAGTGTCTTCATAAAGCAGCTGTGATTTAAGTAGAATAATAAAATAGAGTCAGAAGAACTAGATTTGAATTGAGATGGCACGTTCCAGGCACTGCTGAGAACTGGTATTGTTGGAGTGGGAGAAAGAAGATGCAGACAGAGGCAGAAAAGGTTAAGTGAAAATCCTTTAGTTCTGAACTTAAATGGAATAGTACCAGTATGAATCCATGATGTATTTTATATTTAAAAAATCTATATATAGGGGTGTGTGTGTGTGTGTGTGTATGTATTTCACATCCCCCCACTCCAGCTCTGTTGAATGAAAGAAACAATGTCAGCCTAGTAGCAATAAAACCCTTCTAGCACTCAAACTGCAATCTCTAAATACCATTCCCACTAAAAGAAATCAAGGCTCCCTGAAGAAATGGTTGATTTCAGGTCTGGGGCAGGAAATGTACAAGTGAGCCTGGATCATTTTTTCATACAAACACCAAGAAAAAAGTGATCAAAGATTACTAGAGTCAGGTCAAAAAGACCCAGGAGCCAAACTGAGAAGCTCCCACCCGCCAAAGATAGGGCTATTTGAGCCTCTATAAGAATAATAACTGTAACAGACTGAAATGTCAAGTTTTAATGAATACTGTGTGAATATTATTAATAATATTAGTATTCATAATTCATTATTATTATAACATTAAGAATAGTAACTGTAATGGATGAAAACATCAAGTTTTAATGACACTAAAAATAAAATTCAACTGATCACCATTAAAGAATGTTATTGAACCAACACACTATTTTGAAAACTGTTAAGTAAAGGGAAAGAATCATGCTTTTCCTATACAAACTATTTGTTGTTACTGTTAGTTGCTACTGAGTCAATTCCAACTCATGGTGACCCCATGTGTGCGGAATAGAAATGCTCCATAGGGATTGCAAGGCTGTGACCTTTCAGATGCAGATCATCAGGCCGTCTTCTGAGGTATCTCTGGATGGGTTTGAACCACGAACCTTTTAGCTAGTAGTCGAGTGCTTAACGGTTTGTGCCATCCAGGCACATAATATACAACTGGGCAACCAAACAGCTGAAGAGGGGAAGCTTCTCTTTACAGAAGTACACCCAGCTAATAAATGGAAAAACAACAATAGAATTCACCATTTTTTGTAGCCCCTAATGAATTAATGGATTTAGGCATCAATCATCAATGTCTGATAATATCATAAAAAGAGACAACCATTCAGTATTTGTCTCCTGAAGGAAGAACATATCATCACCTATTAAACTCTTTTTAAGGCTCTACTCAAATGACATCTTGTTAAGAGAGGCCTTAACTGATCAGTCACCATATCCTAACCCCTTTATCCTGCTTTATTATTCTGTAAAGCACTTAACACCATCTATCATCCCATGTATTTACTTGTTTATTATCTCTCTACCCCACTAGAATGTCAGGACCATAAGGACAAGGACTTTGTTCTGTTCCCCGCCACACAGAAGGTATTAAATTTAAAAAAAAAACAAAAAACGGAATCTGTCCAACGCTCCAGGCTCTACTTCTAATTTATTTATTTAAAAAAAAGGGACTGAGGAATATGTTAACAACACAAGAGGATAAAACGCCATCAAGCAAAACCTAGATTAGGACAAACTCGCTGATTTCTTAAAACAATTAAACTCAAGACAGATTAAGTAAGACTGACGAGAACAGGCAATTGCAAAGTGTAGATCTTATTTGGATCTAATTCAAGCTCTTAAAAACAAATTTTTTATGACATTTAGGAGACAACTGCAAATTTGAACACTAACTGGCTATTTGACAATATTAAAGAATTGATATTAAGAAATAAAAGTCTTATCTTTTAAATATACATACCAAAAACGTACTACTAAATTATATATCTGGAAATTTTCTTAAAAATAATATGGAATAGGGTGAAACAGACAGTATAGATGAAACAAGACTGCTGTGAGTTGATAAATACTGAAGCTGGATGATGAGTTCATTAACACTCAAAAGTATTATGTTTGTTTTTGTGTATGTTTAAATTTGCTATAATAGTTTAAAAACAAGAACCGAGTTCAAGTTTCAATTCTTCCTTTCTGAGCACTAGTTTTATCATCTGTAAAATTACTAACTATAATAATCTATCCTCTGAATTTAGTAAACACTCAATCCCACTCCCATTGCCAACTCATAGCAACCCTATGGATAGAGTAGAACTGCCCCATAGGGTTTCCATGGCTGTAATCTTTACAGCTGACTGCCACATCTTTCTCCTGCAGAGCTGCTGGTGCATTCAAACTGCCAACCTTCCAGTTAGCAGCAGAGCGCTTTAACCACTGCACCATTAGGGCTCCTGAAGCACTCAACTGGAGATACTAATCCTACCACTTTGTCAAAGGACTGCAGTGAGGATTAACTAAGTTAATGTGTGTGAAAGTGCTTCCTATTAACAAACATTCGATGTTATAGTTTCCAAACACCATGAACTAGTCTACAGAAGGGTAATTCTTTCCCATTGATACGTCACATGCAATGGGCCAACAGAATATACAGGTCTCTGTATTAAACCAGAAGATATTAGGATAAGAAAGCAAAAAACTTAAGAGAACAACTGTCTTTCACCATGATGCTTATACATGCTCAGACAAATGTTTAAAATAAGTGTTAAAGACATAATGGATTTACTGCAAAACCTCAGCAACAAAAAGACAAATAACCCAATTAAAACACAGGCAAAGGATATGAACAGGCACTTCGCCAAAGAAGATATTCAGGCGGCTAACAGGCACATGAAGAAATGCTCATGATCATTAGCTATTAGAGAAATG